TGTTTTATCATTTATGGCAGAAGTAACTTGGTGTAATTCTTCTTTACCTATATTATGTACTACTCGAGATAAATTGTTTACGGGTACAGTCAATTTCAGCGAATCATCATTTAACACTGTCTTTTCTTTTATGGTGGGGCTACTACAATTTAAAGCAGTCGCAATATCCGTAACATTATTAACTCTTGTTGAATGAGGAAGTGAATAAACCTCTTCTGTAATTTCCATCGCTGCATCCATTAATTTAGTCTCATTAACAGAATTAAACATTTTCTTTAAAAATCTTGTATCATTTTCAATATGAGATATATCTTTACTAATTGATTTCTCTTTTTGGTTAATAACTGAAGTAACTACGCTTTTATCATCCATCAAAGCATCATGAAAAACGACACTGTGATTTTTATAATTTGTTTTACAAACCGTTGGAATAGCACTCGTCATTTCCATTGATACATTTTCAAATATTTGAGTTTGATTATCAGTCATACTCTCATTATTAGTAAAGGCACTTATTTTTCTAAGTTTTTGCTGCAAATGAAGCGGTTCTTTTATAGACTGTAAGCATTCTGTAAATTCTAAATTTTCCTTGAAAAAATATTGTGTTTTATCTGACATAGTATTCATTTTATTTCTTGAAATAAATGGAACATTAGATTCCATGATAATATCAGACATTGGTATGTTTTCTTTATCTTCTGGTTCTAGTTTGCGCTTAGTAGATACGTTTGAAAGCTTAATAACAGAAGGTATTTTTGTGTTCTCCATAGATACATCTTCGATACAAGTTTTGTCCAAATCTGGATCTTTCATGTTATGAGAGTTTGGTAAATCATTGTAAACATTTATACTTTTACTCGTACAAATATCTATGTTTCGATTTGATTCAATTGAAATATTAATCTTTTTATCGTCAGTTTCATTTTTATATGCTAAAGATATTGATTTGTTTAATAAAATTTCGTCTGTATGCATTGATTTAAAGGAACCCGGTGTAACAAAACACTCTGTTAATTCTAACGAATCATTCATTGGATTCCCATTTTCACTTTCTATCATATCATTACTTGTAGAATGATAAGTATTCCTAAAAGTTTCATGATTCTGATTATTTATACCAGTTTGTCCTGTATTTATATTCGATAATTCTTCATATGTATTGTTCCATAAGGTTCCTTGTTCCGCAGATAAAAATTCTCTGTACAAAGAATTAAACATTGGTGTGTATGATAAAGTTTCATAGGGAACTTGGACATGAAAAGAAGTAGAACTAATAATTGAGTTGGACGTTTCGTCCCTTTATTGGGACTTCTTCAGCAACTTAAAGGGACGAAACGTCCAACTCAATTAAAATAAGTTCTACTTCTTTTCATGTCCAAGTTCCCTATGAAACTTTATCATTAAAAATTATAATTTTGGACGAGAGAAAATACTAAATAAATTGGTGTGTATTTATACATATTTCATGAAAAATATAAATAAAAAACTATATTAAAAAAATTGTATTTGTATATAAACACAAATAATATAACTTACTTAACATGATTCTTTTCTGCAAAACTAACCCGTCGTTTGACTTTCGATGTAGATGGACTTTCTGAACTTAAGGAAATATTAGAACCTGAATGTGGCCTAGGTGCTACTTTGAGAATCTATAAATTGTTAGAGATTCTTAAATTGTTAATATAAAAACAATATAGATACGGTAATGTTTTTCAATAAAAATGCTTTTACTTACGGAAAATCCTCCGGATCTACTTTTTCTAGACTTTTTCCTAATATAAAAAAAAAGAAAATTATATTTATATTCATATGTTAAAGTAAATATAAAAAAAATCAAATAAATTTATTATTAAATGATATGCTTCAAAACCACACAAAACTTACAAATCATTTTTACACACAATGTAAATATATATTTTATTTTTTCGTGAAAAAAAGAATACTATAACAGTAAATACGTACGCAAGGCGAAAAATCTATTTAAATATATATAGAAAAATAGTAAATATATACCTACATTTTATTACACTTGATTTAAACACAATTTAAAATCAACAATACTATAGAGCAACGTCAAAACCGTTAATGTTGTGTTCTTCGATAAAATATTATATAGATTTCTCTCCATATTCGAAACTTAGTCATATTCTTGAAGAGTTTACAGCAGTATTTTACTTTACGGACCAATAGGAAAAAAGGATTATCTATATCACCCAATCAAAAATCTGCAATAAAATTAATATAATACGCTAAACGAGACTAAATTTCTGATACGTTTGAAACTGTTATATCTGTCAAACTAGAAAATCTAGAAAATTTATTTATTTCCAAATGAATTTGTTATAGGGAATTGAAAATTTCTTTTCATGCGAATGGAAAAGAAGTATTTAATAAATTGTAAACTTGACATTATAATAATAGAAATAAAAAATGACAAATGATCACTTGAAAATGGGATTTTATTAAAATATATATAAAAAACGTAATCTGTGACCAATGATACACCGCCAAATCGTGATTCCATTTATTCACATAAATACGTTATCTTGGAATAAATACATTATCGTAGCTGATATCCGTTTAATATTAAATTACATGTAAAGTTACGTCTAAATAATTTAATCAAATTATTTAACGCGTACACACACACAAAACTTTAAGGATCAATAACGTTTGACGATTTTAATCTAATTCTGAATGATTGAAAAAGAATCTAGCCTCGGCAGCATCGCTACTTAATAATATTGTTTTCATATCTCGAATTGTAAGCAGGTGACTTGTCAAATATTGAAAATAAGGGAATCTAACATTGTATGATGATGGAAAGTGATACTGTGAAATTAATAATAAAAGCACCGAATCAACAAATTAAAGATCAACTTATAAAATGTGATATCGGGTGGAGCATTGGTCGTTTAAAGGAATATCTTTCCGAAGTTTATCCCAGTAAACCAGTAAGAGTTTCAACTATTTTTATTTTTAACTTCCTACCGTGAAATTGCATGAAAACTAAAATTCTTTTAAATCTTAATAAAATTCAATCGGTCGGTCAAAGTTAGTTAGTCAATCAGTAAATCACTTTTATTGTTTAACGTTAATGATTTTCTTTAAAAATATTTATTCATTTATATTAGTATATTTATCCCATATATATGTATACAATTGATTTATATAAAATGATGATAAATTGACATCATTTCTCATAGGAAAGTTCAGAGCAGAAATTAATATATGCTGGTCAATTATTGAACGATTCTTCTTGTTTAAAAGATATTTTAAGACAATGTGACGGTTTGGAGGACCAAGCATATACTATACATTTAGTATGTACTCCTCAAAAAATGTGTGCCAATAAAGTATCTGATCGAACACAAACTAGTGAAAGTGTAAACGTTGTTAATTCAGCCATAAGAAATAATGTTGACCATATTAGTCAAAGTCAAAATCAAAGCACAAATAACATTATAACTCAACCTCCACCAACACAATTGTATTCTATGCAGCAATATTTTGATCCTCGAAATAGTCAACAAGTAGCTTGGATGCAACAAGCTTACACGCACTATTTCACACAGTACATGCAATTGTATGTAATATTTCATTTTATCTTTCATTATGTTACATTACATATATTTGCAATTGGAATTATTTTTGTTGATAGAATGGCTGCGCAAGGAATTCAATTGCCAACTACAATTCCTTATGTTCAACAAATGGATATCGATCCAAATGAAGTTACACAAAATACATATACGAATAACAATAACAACAACAACAACAACAATAATAATAATAATAATAGTAATAATAATAATAATAATAATAATAATAATAATAATGTTGGAGATGAACAACCTCAAGTGGCAGTGCAAGATGCAGCTGATGTTAATGCAGGCAATAATGTAGCTGGCGAGGATGGTGCATTTAATCCAGATTGGCTAGACTTTTTTTATATGCTATCCAGAATCATTGTTCTCTTTAGTATAGTGTATTTTTATTCCTCTCCGCTCAGATTTCTTATTGTTACATTCTTGGGCTTTGTTATATATCTGTAAGTTTTTTGCATATCATATAGAATGAATAGTAATTTTTTATTTTCTGATAATGAATATTTTTATTTAGGTACCAAAGTGGATTTTTCAGAGTACAACCCATTATATTGCCTGAAAATAATTTACGTCCAGACAATAACAATCAAGTATTACAAAATGAAGAAGCAGCTCCCCAAGTTGTTCCTGCCCAACAAAATGGTCAAGTTCCAACGGTACAACCAGAAGCTAGAACAAATGCCAATGAAGAAAATGAAGAAGAAAGACCTGGTGCCCTTGCTTTTACATGGACATTTTTTAGTTCATTTTTTGCTTCCCTTATTCCAGATCAACCAAATGTCATTTAATTTTCTGTTATGTTGTTATGCTTCATCATTTGTTCTACTTGTTGTTCCTTCATTTTTAAATTCTTCAAGTGTCATTGCAAAACCTTAAGAGGTGGTCTCATAATCGGATGAGCTTAACAAGTATTTCAGTATGAATTGTTACTTAAATTGTTATTTTATATTAAATTGTTAATTTAATTTATTTGTCGTATAAAAATTATCAATCAAGCCCGCGAATATAATGTGTACATAATTTTATTTAAATATTTTAATTAAAATACTTCTGACAAATAAATCATCCTACAAACAGGTTATTCATAGCAATGGATTTAATATGAATAATCTAATGAGATTGCCTCAAGGTTGCTACACAAAGTAATAGTTATATTCAAGGAATATTCGACAAAAATTGGTTATAGTTGTCTTCTTTAAGAAAGTTGTAGGCTTATCCCAAAGTTATTAGGAATTTATTGTAAAATACTTTTTTTTATGTTTGTAGTAATATAAATATACAACGAGATAAAAATATATAGTGTATATAATTATA